GACTGAGGGTCAACCTAGAAACTCCATTACCTCTGGAATTTTCAAGGTTGCCTCCCAGGCTGGAAGTGTCCAGGATTGATGTCTGGGCACCTACGCTGAGAAAGAAAAAGCCAAAGGCTGGAAATCCAGGCTTAGGCTCACCTAAACAAACATGTGCTCTAAGCTCCTTCCTCCCCCGAAAATGCTCAGAATGAGCAATAAAGGAGAGGGAGCCCTAGATGACAGTCACTCTTTCTAAGATCTAAGTAGGTTCAGCGGACAATGCTTCTAGATACAGCATGCCCGAGTAGGTAACATGGAAGGGGAAGGAACACAGGAACAAATAAGGGGATAGCTTTATTATCCCAATGCCCTTTACTGATGTCATCCAATGTCCAGTACTGAGTGCAGATGAGCTCCATGCGAATTCTAATAGCATTTCTCCTACTACACCCATATATAACATTCCATCTCTGTGCCTCTGAACAAATTGTCCCCATGACAAGAATGCTCTCCCTCCAAGCTCAACCATCTTCCAAAGGTCAGCACAAATGCTCCCTCCTACAGGATGCCTTTCCTGATTCCCTCCAGCTACTAATGCCTCCTTGCCATGACATAAAATTACCTTGTATTTACTTTAAATATAATTTTATATGTACATGTTGTTTATATATTTATGTTTTATATTTGTGTATATGTGTGTATTGTTTATAATTTATATATGTACACACATACATACATATTGTTCATAATTTTTATATGTACATATTGTTTCCTCCAATAGACTATAAGCTCCTTGGAGGCAAGGATTGACTTGTTTTTGTCTTTGTTTCTCGAACCTAGCACATAGCAGGTATTCAGTAAATGACTTTTGATTGTTTACACGTCTTGTTAATTTCCAAATATTTCATACATTGTCATTTCTCTTAATTATAGGTGGTATCATATAGAAATATAAATGATTTATGGGAGTTTATATATGACTACTTGACTTAAATCATTTATAACCTCTATTTTTGATTGCCTTATGTTTTCTGGCCATAATATCAAGTAAAATTATTATAAAATATGTAGGCTATATATGTATATGCATATATTTTAACCTCTTTATTGCTAATGCTCCTTTTTTGCCCCCTAGGCAATTGAGGCTAAGTGACTTGCCCAGGGTCACACAGACACAGCTAGTAAGTGTCAAGTGTTTGGTCTGAGGCTGAATTTGAACTCAGATTCTCCTGACTCCCAGGCCGGAGCTCTATCCACTGTGCCACCTAGCTGCCCCATTTTATGCTTTATCAGTATTACTGAAAAGTAGCATAGTGAAATGGATTGTAGGCTGTGACCTGAGTCCAGCTTTTGGCACATCCTGGCTGTGAGACCCTCACCAGGCAGACTAATTAACTTCTTAGTGACCCAGGTAGCTCTCTGGAAAAGCCTCCTTCACTAGGAGCTTCCTATACTAATGATGACAGATCTCTTCCAAAAAAGATTCCTAAAAATATTATTCTACTCTAGATATCCCTTTATAAGACTTGTTTTTCATGGCAATGCTTCTAGTGTTTCTCTATTATATTGTAATGTTCACTTGTCATTCAAAATACCTCAAATAATGGGAAGAAACTTCTGTTCCTACATTGCTTGATGTTTTAAGAATAAACAAGTATTGTGTTTCATTAAAGTTTTCTCTGCTTCTGACATGATAAAATGCTTGTTAGTTTTATTCTTATTATTGTCCTGATATTAAACCACACTTGAATTCCATTTATAAATCCTTGATCATGATGGATATATTTTTAATGGATTCTACTTGCAAGTACCTTAATATTCTTGAGTCAACAGTCATTAATGATATTGCTCCATAGTTTTCTTTCTCTGCTTTTGTCTTTATTCCATTAGGAGTCAACCTCACACTTGCCTTGGTGAAGGAATTGGTCTACTTACCAGCTTTCTGCCTTCTAACTGTGTCATTTTGCTTTAGACTTCTAATGTTTGAGATGTCATTTGTGTATACACTCCCTATCCCAACAAAGACTGAGACTTCTCTATGAAAGCTGATTTTGTGACAACAGATAAACCAACTAGTCTTGATACTTTCCCAGATGGGTACGTCTTGCTCTCTGCTAAGAACAGCCTGTGAGAACATTGGGCCAGCCCCATGGCCTCCTGTGTACAGTTTATTTACTTTAAACATTCTCATTAAAAATCTTAAAATCCTGATTTTTAATATGCATTAGTAATTTTAACCCACTTTGTTCTATGAATTTGCAGTCTCACCAAGCAATCTTTGAGGGTTATTTAGTGGGGTAGGTATGTTTGATCGTTGGCTCTGTGGCAATTTTAGGTAGGAAGATTCTGAAAGGTGAAATCATAAAGCTTACAGCTCCACACAGAGGAAAAAAAACAATTTGAACAGTTACAGGCATCCCAAAGTGGGGGAACGGACATTGATAGGTTAGCCAGAATTTTGCAAGTCTAGATGATGCTTCTGCTCCCCCTTTCCTGCTTAAGGCACATCTTAACTATTGTACCATTATTTCCACCCAACTTGTGCTTTCTTAGTTAGAAAGGTGAGCTCTCCTTTCAAACCCCATTTGGAGCTCTTCTCTAACTCACATAATGGGCAATGGAAGATTCCAGGCAACACAAAATGCCAGGAAGAACAGAGTGCTTCCTTTTGGGTTCCCCTGGAGGGGCAGCTCTAAATTTGCAAGTATTATTGGCTCTACACGATCAAGATAGAATATTTTGATGGGGGGGGTGGAAGGTCACTGCAAGAGAAAAGAAAAATCTTTTAAATTCTAGTTCTGGAATGTCAAATTCATGCAACAGGTATTTTAATGTGTGGTTTTTTTTTACTACACAACCAATAAAAGCAAGAGAACCTTAAGGTGGGGAGGGAGAAGGGAAGGAGGAAGAGACAAGGGAGGCATTGATAAGCTGGAGAACATCCAGAGGGCAGCCAAGATGGTATAGTCTACAGTTAATACAAGAGGTCTGATCCATGTGAGAGGGGATTTGAGCTTAGAGAAGGTTGCTGAGAGGGTGGCATGCTAGCTCTCTAATGGAGGAGGGAGTTGGACCCAGAGGGCAGAAGTGGAAACAGTGGGGAGTAGGGGAGGAGAGTGGGGAGGGAGGAAGCTTTCAAGAGGCCAAAGAGGCATAAAGCATCTACTATGTTCCAGGCCAATGCAGCAGGTGGCTCAGGAGATAAGAGTACTAAGCCTGGATTTAGGAAGACTGAGTTCAGATCCAGCCTCTGACACTTCCTAGCTGTGTGACCCTGGGTAAGTCATTTAATCTCAGACTGCTTGACAAAATGGACCCAAAGGATCCATCGAGAAGGAAATGGCAAATCACTCCAATATCTTTGCCAAGAAAACCTCAAATGGGGTCATGCAGGGTCAGACACGACTGAAAGACAACAAATGTTCCAGATGTTGAAAGTGAATTTTGGGGAGAACATAACTGACTCTACTTTGTCCTACACTTGCTGTAATTATATTTCTTTTACTTTTCTGCCAGATGTCTCTTGGACACTACTGAACACACTGAATGTCTCCGTTACAATTACAAAAGAAAACTTACATGACTTCAAATAGTTTCAGGAACTCATCCCTTTCTCTTATTTTCTATCTAACAAAGCTTGTAGTAGCGGCTTAACAGATACTGTTTCCTTCGGTCCAGTGTAAATGGCTATGTTAAAAGACACATCTTTCCTCTGTAACAATGTAAGCATGTTTTTCTTTGTCTTATAGGACCTCATCCTATGTGAAATATATGTATATATACACAAAACGTGTTATAATAGTTACATATATTTATACAATTAACTCATATATTAAAATATATGAACGATATAGTCACATATATCTATATATAATTATATACGAAACGTACTTATTGTATCGCATATTATATAGTTGCATATTTATGTAAAATATCATTATAGCATTATAACTGTGTTATGAACTTATCATCACATATGTCATTTTCGCAACTGGAATTCAAACAGTTTGCCTGTCTGGCTGGTTTGTGGGGGCCTCTACAGGCCTTGGGTTCCTACATCTGGAGCTGGACGGGACCGAGGGCCCTTGATTTTCCTTTTAATATCTGGATGACATTCCAATACAACTGATTTCTCCTATCAGGCAGCTTTTAAGGAAGCGCTTCCCGAGGAGAGCGCAGGGAGTACCAGAGGCAGCAGAGCGCCTGCCCTCAGGGAGCTTCCATTCTCAGGGGGGACCCCTCATGTGGGGGGAGGGGCGCCTGATTTGAGGCCTTTGCATCCCTGTGCTTCACCGGACCGAACAGAACACGGGAGCCCCTCATTTTTCTCGGGGAGAAGCTGAGGTCCCCTCGCTCCGCCCCCGCGGCCGCGGCGCTTACCCCACTCTGTGACTCCTCCTCTGCCGCCGCCGCCGCCACCGCCCTCCCTCACTGACGCATTGACTGACTCACTGACTCACTGACTGACTGACTGGAGGGAGCGACGCTCGGGCGCCTGCCTCTTGGGCGTCGCTTCGGCCACGCCTCCCTCGGCGCCGCTCGCCCCGCCCCCTCCGCGGAGGCTCACGGGGCTCGTAGTCCGCCGCCGGGCGCCCCGCCCCCTCGCGGGTCTCGCGCTCCCAGGCAACGCCGGCACTTCCGGCTCCGTCGCGTGGCCGCGCGGACCGAGCGGACGCCCTGCGCTTGGGCTCTCGGGCGCGCTCGTGAGCGCTCGTGCTCGGCTCGGGGGCGCGCGCCGCGGGGCCGCGCGGGCGGCGCCCCTCCCCCTCCCCTCCACGTCGGCCTTCTCAGACCCCGCGGGCAGGGGCCTGGCGGCCGGAGGCCAGGGGACGGGCCCGGGCGGCATGGGTGCGGGGAGCCCGAGGCCAGACCCGAGCCGGCGCGGCCCCGCGGAGGCCGGAAGCCCGCCGTGACCCCGCTGACCCGGGGTGTTCTCGGTTCGTTCCGCACGTCGGGGAAACCGAAAGTGCCGACGAGGCGGTGAGCGGGGGCCAGGCAGGGGGCGGCCGGGCGGACCGGGACCACCTGCCCTGTGGCCCGCTGACGGGCCAGGGCCGAGGGCTGCTCGGAGGCGGCGGCGGCGGCGGCGGCGGCGAAGCCTTGAACACAGAGCCAGCCGGAGAGCTCCCCTTCCCCTTCCGGGCCGGGAAAGCCGGCAACGCCTTCCATTCTTCCGAGTGGAAATCCTGCCCCCCTCCCCAGGCCGAGGGGAGGGACGGGGCGGGGGTCTCCCCTTCTCCAGGTGTGGATTGACAGCCGCCTTTCAGTTGGAACTTCCTGTATGCCCTGACAAACAGCTGGCAGCACCGGCCCGCATTTATGCGGCGCTTTAGGTTTGCCCCCTGCGCTCCCTCCCCTGGTGCTCGCCTCCCCCTGGTGCGTGGGGCGGGGTCGCCTTCCCAGGGGCCAGTGAGGAGGGGCTTCGCTGCTGTGGTTAGATGTGGGGGCGTCCGGTCCGCTGCCCAGGAGGGATTCATCGAGGGGTACGAGGAGACTCTGGGGCCTCCTTTGACAGGTGGGGAAACTGAGGCAAGGGGCCGTTGAGCGATTTGCCCAGAAGAAGCCGCCGAGCTGACCCAGGGGTCCATGACTTCCCCCCCCCCCGCCCAAGTTGAAGGGTCCCGAACCCCTCCCAAGAAAAGGCCTCTCAGGGAAGGGAGTAAAGTCTCTACTGCTTCCATGGGAAAACTTAGTCTTGGAGGGTATCTTCCGTAAGTTGGAGGCCGCCGCTCTTCGATTCTGAAACCAAATATGGGAAAGAAACTCTTGTTTTTCCTTCTTTTGGCCCTCATCGATTTAGACCAGGAAGGGACCCTGGAGGCCATTCAGTCCGGTCTGTTCATTTTACGAGGGAGGAAACTGAGGCACAGAAGGGTCAGTCATCAGGTATTTATTTAGGGCTGACTGTGCCGGGCCCTGCAGTAAGCCCTGGGGAGACAAAGAAAGGCAGGAACTGTTTCCCTGCGGTAGGGGAGCTCCTGCTGTGAGGGAGGAGAGGGTTTATACTAGTATCAGTCAGAAGTGGTGATTTTTCCAGGGCCTGGCTCAGCTTTGGGACTGCCATCTTCTTGGGAATTGATCTAGGCGCTGAAGGGGTTCGGTTGGGAATAGTCCATAGGATATGGACCTTCCAAGCAATCTAGTCCATCCTTCCCATTGGATAGCTGAGCTCAAGGAAAGGTTAGGGACTTGCCTGAGGTCACACAGGTGCAGGTGCAGGATTTGACCTCATGCTTTCCTGTCACCAACCCTCCATCTTCCCTTCATGCTCTACAGGGCTTGAGGCTTCTAGGAAGCTCCTTGTGATCACCATAGAAAAACTTGAGGGAAGCCAATTGAAGCTGAAGAACACATAGAAGATACTTTCATTAACTTCTTACTTGTTCAAATCAATCATTTCTTTAGGCCCCAAAGATAAAGAAGCCGTAGGGAGCTACAGATTCTATGGCAAGGGAATTGGGGTGGGGGTGGGGAACAGTCCATTGCTGGCAAAACTAGGCCATGGAGGTAGAATATTGAGTGTAGAGGACCAGAAGGTTGACTGGAATATATTGGGGGGTGGGGGGGGGACCGTTTGTAATTGCTTTAGTAATCCTAGGAAGGTTAGTGAAGGACTTTAAATGCCAATTAGTATTTCATCCTAGAAACCATAAGGAGCCATTGGAGCTTTTTGCATTGGGAAGTGATGGCTCTCCCTGTAGTTTTAAAATAATACATAGTTGGACAGCTGCATAAAGGTTGAATGGGAGAAAGGAGAATCTGCAGACAGAGACCAGTAGTCCAGGCAAGGCTGGGATCCTATCTGGGGGAGGGGAGAGGAGATGGTACCTGGAAAGAGGAGGGTGGTGAGATATGCCCTGTTTGCCCTCCTGCTGGGATTCCCATGGAGTGTTGTGTGAAGGTCTTCTCTCCACAGTTTAGGAATGATGTTGATAAGCTAGAAAGTGTCACAAAGACAGCAGCCAGAATTCATGCTGTATGAGGATTGATTCAAGGGACTGAGAATTTTTTAGCTTAGAGATGATTTGTGGGGGACATTCTGGCTGCCTTGTGGGTTTCAGGGTGTGTGTTTGTACTCAGGCAGGAATAGAAACACAGTGTGGGAAATGCACAGAGGCAAGGGGGTTTTTGGAATTGGGTGGGAGCTCACGTTGAGAGCCAGCCAATGGTTTTTTCCCACTCTAGAGCCTGCTGACCATGTGGTCTGTTTCCTAACTCAGGGAAGGCCCTAAATGATGTAGCAACTGGTCTGATTCTGTTTGTTCAGACGCTGTCGAGGCTCCACTGAATTTTATATCGGCACCATATGCGTGCTGTAGGGAGGTGTTATTAAATGCATGTGCATTTTGAAGATGTCAGGAAGAGGTTTTCCTGGCTTCTAGAAAGCCATGCCAGGGGAATGCAGGTTCTGGCAATCCCACCTGAGCCCTGGAGTGTGTTGTCCTGGAAAAAAGACTCCTGAGAGTTCTTTTACAGTCACCTGTCATTGGGTCTACACTGACTCCTACAAATGATACTGTTGTAGATCTGAGAGCTCTGCAAATGTTAAAACAACCAAGGCTGAAACTTTAGGATCTCAGTATTGAGGGGAATTACAGTTATTTATCAGTCTTTCTGACCTCTGGAGCTATTCTGCTGCCTAATGCAATAGCTTTTCATTGATGGACGGATTTTTCACTGACCTTTGAACGCTTCTAGACAGACAACCTTCTCTTCCTTGTAGTTCCCTTTTAGCCATAATACATCCCTTTCTACAAATAGATGGGGGAGGAGGGAGAGAGAAAGGAGAAGGGAGTGGTTAAATGTGTACAACTTTTTTTTAATACAATGAAGAATTTATGTCTTCCCCCCTCATCCCCCCAAGACACATAACAGGGCAGTCACAACACACCTTACTGTGAATATAGTAGATATTCTGTGTTCTGTTGTATCTAGTAAGCATAAGTACTACTAGGTTAGTACTTTAAATATCGACACTATTCCACTGTTAGTGGGGTAAGATGTTTCTTTTCTTAATTTTTTTTTAGTCCAGACTCGTGCTTTCATGTGGAAAAGTTGTCTTCACAGTTATAGATTCACTGAACATCTTAGGCTTTTACCTAGGATATTAAGAATGTTAGAGTTTGTAAAATAACATTTTCTCATATTACTTTTCTCTAACCTTCCACTTGGAGGTAGATGTGGGGAAATAGGATAGAAACTCAACCTCTGAGCTGAACTTGAACCTGGGTTCAAGTTCTGACCTATGTGGACTGGCTGTCTCTTGACCTTTGTGCCCCAGGCAGCTTTCTAAGACTCTGCAATAGCAGAAGAGTTGCCAGTCTGCATTGATAAAAGGAAGTTACCTTACCTAGGCTTCCTAGGCACCTAACTAGCTCCTTGACCCTGGGCTAGTCATCTAACCTGTTTGCCTTAGTTTCCTCTACTATCAAATGGAGATGGTAGTAGGAGGAGGTAATACTAGCACCTACCTTATAGGATTATTGTGAGAATCCAATGATAAGAGAGTATTTGTAAAGGACTTAGCGCAGTACCTGGCACATAGTAGGAGCTTAATAAATGTTTGCTCATTCCTCCTGGCAGTGAGGTCTGGGCTACAATCTGCATACAATCCAGTCTTCTCCACTTCTCCTCACCCCCCAGAAAAGGAGAGGTCCTACATATCATCTGAAGTAGTAACTAGCTGTAAGTGGAACAGTGTATGGTAGGAGGGAGAGGGTTTGAGAAACACTGGGGAGGAATTTGTTAGCACCACTCCTTGAGCCCTAACAGTGCATGTATAGGTTACTGAGCTATCTACCCTCTAAATTGTTTGGTGCCTGTCCAGTATTGTGTATCTTTCCTAGGCATGTTGTGAAGGAGTCTGATTTGGCAGACATTGATATATTGAATTTCTTAGTGACTTGATTGTTTTTTGTAAGGTATGAACAATGAAAGTGCAAAATTTAACATGATTCCTTGTGACACGAAATTTGTTCTGAAATTTCATGTAAAAAAATTTGTGGTACCATTCAGTCCTCTTATAACATGGGCCTTGAATGCATGCCCTATAAAGATGTTCAGAGGAGCTGGGGATGCTTAGCCCAGAAAAGAGAAGACGGGGGGGGGGGGAGGGGTGTCCTGATAAATGGCTTCCAGTATTTGATGGTCTCTTCTGTGGGCAAGGGACTAGACTTGTTCTGTTTGTCCCCAAAGAGAAGTCTTGAGAGCAATATTGAGAAGTTGTTGAGGGACACCTGGATGTCAGGAATATAGAGCTGGAAAGAATTGGAAGAAGTCGTCTAGAAAGTTGGGGCACGGATGGGGGTGGCCTGTCCTTGGAAGTCTTCAGGTAGAGCCTGGAGGATCAGTTGTCCTCTGTGTTAGTGGGAATTCCTTTTGTGGATCTTAGATGGCCAGCCAAGTTCCTTTCCAGCTCCCAGAATCTGTGATTCTCTGACACTGTAGGGGAGTTCCTTCTTATAACTACTATTTCTTTTTTTAAAATTTTATTAATTTATTTTGATTTATCAGCAATCACTTCCATATGCTTTTGAGTTGAAAATTTTTCTCCCCCTTCCTCCCCCCCACCCTCCCCAGTATGGTGTACAATCTGAGATAGGCTTTACATTTACATAGCCGTTAAACACATTTTCACATTAGTGAAGTTGTAAGTAAAAATTAAAACCAATAGGAGGAACCATCAGAAAGATGAAACAAACCTCAACAGAAGGTAAAAATAAGTGATAGCGATTTGACTTCCATAGTTCTTTCTTTGGGTGTGGACAGCATTTTCCATCCCGAAGCCTCTGGAGATGTCTTAGATCCTTGTAATGCTGAGAAGGGTTCAGTTTAACAATATTAGTCATTGCATAACATGGCTGTTATTGTGTCCAGAGTCCTCTTGCTTCTGCTCACTTCACTCAGCATCAGACTATATAAGTCTTTCCAGGTTTTCCAAAGTCACCCTGTTCATCATTTCTTATAGCACAGTAGTATTCCATTACATTCATATACCACAACTTGCTCAGCCATTCCTCAATTGATGGGCATCCTCTCAATTTCCAATTCTTTGCCACCACAGAAAGAGCTGCTATGAATATTTTTGTACATGTGGGTCCTTTTTCCATTTGTTTGATCTCTTTCAGATATAGCCCTAGAAGTGCTATTGCTGGATCAAAGGGTACACACATTTTTGTAGCCCTTTGGGCATAGTTCCAAATTGTGAAGGTTTTTTTGTTGTTGAAAAATTAGCTCCTCTGC